GGTTCAGACAGGTGAAGATGCTTTTCTGTGCAGAAACAAAGACATGGAAGACCAGAATACGCACAGTAGGTAAAGTCTTCATTGATGCATTTCCTTATCTGCTCAGTGGGGTGAAAACACCCAATACAGAAGAGGCGCAGATGTCAAGGCGTGGCTGGCAAGGATGAAAATCCAGCATTTTCTGTCAGCACTAAGCAGAAGCCAGAACGTTCGTCTTCCCCGTCTAAAGGCTCTTGACTGGGTCTTCTTTATTCCTCCGCTCTGCATCCACCCCGGAGCTTCCTCCTGAGGTGATTCCAGGAGCCCACAGGCGGCATTATTGTCACACTGCTTTCCCGCGTGGGAATGGTGGGCTTGCTGCCTGTGTCACAAGGCAGACCTCTTCCTGCCTTGGGGGGACGCAGAGGTGGGGCGGGGGTAGAGAGACTTGTGGAGGCGAGGACAGCGGCCCGGCAGCCCCGGATGAGGTCCCTGGTCTGCGTGCTCTACGCAGTCCACCTCAAGTTCTGGTGTAATCTCTTACCCCAGAAGTCAGGCTTCAGGCTTCATGGCTGATGTGCTTCTTAAGAGGAAACAATGAGCTCGGGCCACGGCTGTCACGTGGAAAGCCCTCCCTGCGCGTTCGCTGGTCTGTGCTGGCCTTCATCACGGCATGCAGCCTCACTCAGTCCTCTTGCTTCCTGTGCCCTTCCGAAGGTCTAAGCCTCATTTTCTCTCTTAACAATGCAAATTTTCCTGGCTCCCAAGCCAGTGCTTAAGGCAGCTTTTGCACATGTGCGGGAGGGCAGCTCACTACAGTCCAGGGAAGTCTTGCTCGAGTTAGTCAAGAGCAGCCACTGCTTCCTCCTGAGGGAAGGTCCTCTGGAGACGCTGCAGCCAGGAGTTCTGATGTGGAGATGGAAACAGCCTCTTGTCAGGTAGGAGAAGCCGGCCACATGCCGTGGTCAGCCTGTCTGCGGTCGGACGAGCTATAGGGTGCTGGCCCCTGCCCGGGATGAGGCCTACCTTCAGCCACGACATCTGCGCTCCTCAGTCACAGCGAGGGAGAGGGACCACCGTGTCACACAGAGCCCCCTCCCACTCCCCACCATGAAGCTGGGCGTCCCTGACTGAGCAGCTCAGCCACCCCCACCAAGGCCCTGCCCGTCCGCTGCTAAGATGCTGGCAAGTGCTGTTCTCATGGCCACTTACTCATTTTATTTATTTATATTTTTTTCACTTACTCATTTTTGTCATCTGGAGAGAGCCATCCTTATCAGAAGACAAGCCCAGGAAAGTTGAGACTATTCCTGGTAGAGAGGAGAACTTTTATCTCCAAAATAATGCAGCACTTGGATAGGTGAACACGGGAGGTCACACAAAGTTGATGCATCCTCTTCTTCTTGTTTATTTTTTTTTTTTTGGCACAGCTTTGGTCTTAAGGTTCCTTTCAGAGTTTTAGCTGTAAGCGTCTTCATTTTCCATACTAAGCCAATCATATTCTTTGCAAAGCTGTTTTTCTTAGTGGCCCTGAGGTTGAACCCAGGCCCTTCACGCTGACTCTCATACCTTGCCCTTTTCCTTCACTTCTTTATATTTTGAGGCAAGGTGTTGCCACATCACGGCATTGCCCAGGCTGCCCTCCATCTCGGGACCCTCCTGCCTCAGCCTCTCAGTACTGGATCACAGGCTTTGCCTGCCCGTATTCTGGCTACAGGATATCCACACACACCACATGTAGGGTACTTAGCACGTGTTCTGGCCCTCCTCAGCCCATGGTGGCTGCCCACCAGTCCTCAGTGACCAACACGTGTGCGTATGGAGCAGAGATCGAGGCTGGCTGCAGAGTCACTTGCTGAAAGCCGGCCCTGCTCTTCCTCCTTCATTCCTCAAGCGTCCTGGCAGGGCTGTGCTCCTTCCTGGGAGCAGTTAAGAGCAGAGGCAGTGGAGACCCTACACAAAGGAGTATCCGCGCCTTCTCCTTCTGCAGTCGGCCTGGCTTTCCTGCGGCCACACCTCTACTGGCGCCACCTGGATGGCATCATAAGCAGATGCCTACCTGCCCCTCACCCTCTAGCCCCTTTACCTGCTCCCTGCTGGCTGGAGAGCCACACGCACTATGTGGTGGTCCTGTTCATGCTGGGCTCCGTCCTCCCCGACTAGGCCAGCTCTGCTTGGCCTCCTGGCCTCCTGCGCTGTCCTCAGACCTTGGGATCCTGGACGCGCCTTCCTCACCGCTGTCCACCAGCGTTCACTCATCCATGGGCCCCTGCACCCAGCGCTGGGGGTATCCTGTGAAGTGGTGGACTTGTGGCCTCTGCTTCTTATCTGACAGGGCCCCCTCATGGGTGCCAATGATTCCAGGGTCCCCACCATCTGCCTGGAGCCCCCAAAACTGGGCGTGGGAAGGGGACAGTGCCCTTTTCTGGCCCACAAGTGACTACATAGAGTGACAGTGGCAGGTTTCAATTCACTGGCATACATCTTAGATAAAAGGGGATCATGTTTTGGGATGTAACTGGAACCCAGGGCCTAGGAAGCAGGGTGGAGCCCACTATTCCTTACACACAAGAACTTACAAGGGTGACCTCGGATGACAGGGCTAAGAGCATGCCAGCAGCCTCCAGAATCCAGATGTGTAGGCCCAGCACTCACCCAGAAGGTCACAGGAGCTCACTCTTTGGGACTCCTTTTTTTCTTTATGGAATATGTCATGCTTTTATTGTTCGGGGGGCCTGAAACTTTGGGGTTTAAAGAATCTGCCTGCCTCAGCCTGCTGCGCAGCTGGCCCACAGTCCGGCCCACCACGCCTGCCTCACTGATGAGCCCCTCTTGGTGAACAGAGGCAGGCACAAGACCAAGTAGTGACAAGGAGCTGGGTGCTGCCACTGGGATAGCACAGCCAGCACTAGCCTGCTTCCCATCATAGTGGAAATGCCAGCCCCAAGCGGAGCTGGCAGGAACAATGGGTGTTGGAGACTTTATTTCAGGGAAGTCAAAATAATTTCTTTTTATGGCTTGGGTTTTATGAGTCCATATAACGAGCACCGATCCGATGATTTTCATCTTTACTGAGTAAACACGGCTGTCTTGGCTCATTCTCAGGTGCAGCCTTAGTTGGACACACAGGCTGGCCTCCCCTCCCCGCTGGCCTCGGGCCCCACCTGTCCCATGAGGGGGCAGCAGCTGCCGCCAGAGTCACCAGGCTTTCATCATGACATGGCGCACTTCTGTCCTGGTAGCATCGAGACGGGAGAGCAGTCGAAAGCGCCTGCGAGCAGCCTGGCTCGGGAGGAATCTCCTTGGGGTGGGCAGAGGCCATGATGGCATTCTGTGGATGTCACCCTGTGGCTCAAGTCCCAGCAGGAGGGACATGATGAGTGGGACATGTCTCGGGTCCTGGCAGGTCTGGGAGGGCTCGTCCCCAGACCAGCTGCCTGCAGAGCGGCTTCTCTCCGCTGGGGCGGAGCAGCTGTGTCCACCTGCCCTTGCAAGCTCTTGGGCCAGCGCCAGGACCCCTGTCTCCTGCAGGCCCTCTGTAGTAGAGTGAGGCCACAGCCAGATCCCTGTGGCCTCTGGAGCAAGGACGCCCTCCCTCAGGTGGCCACAGCATGACTTGGCTTAGACTCCAGCTCCACCTCAGGCCTCCTCCCAGACTTCCAAGCTGCATTTTGCCACTGTTCTGCCTTGCTGCAGAGTTGGCTATGATTTCCTGAAGCAGCACAGAGTGAACAGAGCTGCCCTGCTGCCCTGTGACGAGTGACCCGAGATGCTGGCGTCTGGCTTTGCTGCAGGGAGATGGGGCCGGCAGGTGGCAGGGAGTGCGTCCTGCAGCTCAGCCTGGGGCTGCACGTGGTTCACGCTCCAGGCTCCTCAATGGGCGCTCATATCTACGCGTCTGCTGTTAGGTCCCATGTGGGACATGGGCAAGAGGCTACTGTGCTTCAGCTGAGCTGGTGAGGAGTTCTGGGACCCTGAAGTTCTGGAACATGGTGTCGCTCTGCACCATGGGGCCCACTCCTGTCATCTGCTCCCTAAGCAGACACAGGAAAGCCCTCTGTCACTTTCCTTCCATGGGGCTGGTATGGGAGGTCAGGAGCCAAGAGCAGGCTGTGAAGCAGAGAGGACTTCGCTTCCCAAGGCCTGGATGACGTCAGAAGCCTCATCTCAGAACCCCGAGCTTGGCTTGGCCTCTGGGGCCAGCAAGGCTGCATTCTAAATGCCAGTGCTTGAAGGGCAGTCCCAAGCATTCCTGATTTGATTGCTGGACATCTGAACAGATGGAATTAAATCTGTGGATGGAGTGATTGTTCATCCTCCAGAGGACCACTGCCTTTTCTTAGAGTGGATCATTAAGCGGGTTTTGCTAATCCGTGACAGCTGCAGGCAGAAAGCCCAATTTGAGACTCTCCCTGAGGCTTATACCTAAGACCTCAGGACGGTACTGCCCTGCCCCGGAGAAGGGCGAGAAGAGCAGCGTCCCATAAGTCACACTCCCAGGGGACTGGCGAGGGCTATGGCTGGCACCGGAGTGCACAGGAAAGCGATACTCTGCAGAGTCTTTCATTTCTTCCAGTTCCTCCCAAGAGAAAAGTCAGAAGAGCGGGAGCATGTGGCAGGAGGCAGGTGCTCAGCAGCCAGGGAGCAGCCGGTGGCACGTGTGGCCGTGCAGGACCACGAGCTCAGCTCGTGGTTATCTGTGAGTTTAAGAGATTGAGGAGAAACTGGAGACGGCTTGGAGGAAGATGGTAGGAATCGGTTATGCATGAAAGAACGAGAACAGATAAGGACAAGTTAGAGGCAGGAATGTTCTGCTCCACGCAACAGAGGAGGGATAACAAATGCAAACTGAAAATTTTAGCTGACTTGTAGGAATGCGTTGGCCAGCTTTGCCATTAATTAATGCTTTGCAGCCTGAATGTATATGGGCTCGGAGGCTCTTTCCTGACTGACTCAGCTGAACATGAGGCGTTTCTTTTGTGGCAGGGTGTGGCTTCTGTTGTACAAAGAAGGCTGAATCCCCAGAGCTCCTGAACGTGGGGTACAACAGGACATAGAGGAGGCAGGACGCTGAGGGGTCCTTCCAGCCCCCCACAGATGCCAAGGACATGCGCTACTGGTGGCTGCGTGATCTGAGATCTGTGCGAAGCCCCACCTGCCCATCCGTCCTTCAGGAAGGGGCAGGTTTGCAAACACCTCCTTCCGTCGCTTGCACCCTTTTGTAAAGGTTACTTGTGGGGGGCAGGACTGGCTCTGCACCAAGTCTACGGGTCCGCAGCAGGGCTGAGGCACCTCTGGCACCACTGTCTGCTTCCTCCTAATCTGTGAAGAGAGGGCTCCACATAGTCAACGTGTGTGGAGCCCAGAGTCTGAGTGGCAGAGTGAGAAGTGGGCAGGGAGGAGACACAGGGAGAGGGCAGAAGACCTCACAGCAGGAGGGCAGAGACTTGAAGACACAGGAAGTGGGTGGGACGCCACAGGACCTGCTGGCTGCAGGGGCCAGTGCACCTCAGTTCCCACAAGCGTGGCGCCTGCCTCAGACCCCCAAATGTGACTCCCTGAACAGGAAGACAAGGCGCTGTTCTCTGCTCCACAGACCCCGGGGAGCTCGCAATACTGAAATAATATTGCCCCACCAAATACTCGTAACGGCTACCTTTTTAAAAAGGATTCAAGGTTGTAAGATCTGTGGGCTCATTTCCACTTCTTGATTCCCAATGTTCGAGTGCAAGAAATACCCTAATCTCAAGAAAGCCAGGGGTTTGCCAAAGTAACAGAGGGCCCAGGGCTTGGTGAGCCACCAGAGGACACAAACAACTGCGCTCAGTGCAGCCTCCAGAGTCCAGTTCCAGGCCAGCACTGTGACTCAGCAGGAGTCATTTTTAGAAGAAATGGGACTTGCGTTGGTTTTATTGTCTCTTTTGAAAGCATATTTTTGAATCTCAGGGGCCAAATAAAAATTTCCTAAGAGAGGAGGAGCGTTATCAATTACATCAATTCAGTAAAATTCTGATTCATGTGGCTTCGGTTGCTTTGAAAGTTATGAATATGCAGAAGAGAGATGGAATAAAGTTTAGGTCTATATTAATCCTGGAAAAGTATCTGCCAGACAAATTAATATCATGAGCAATATTAGAGACGGCTTAAGTAACTTAAGAACAAACTGTCCTCAGCCACCACCAAATATGTCAAATTTGTTGGTAAACAATCACTGGTTTGTTACGCATGATTCCTATCTCTTTATTAACGCAGTTTATCCAAAATAATGTACCACTTGAAAAGCCTTCCAAGAACGGTACACGCTTGGACATGGCAAGCGCGCCTTTCATGGGCAGCAAGTCCCCTGTATTAATGTAGGCTTTCCTCAGATCTCATCTGGGTTAGCAGAGCATCTACTGTGACAAGATCAAGACCCTTCTGTGACACAGAGCACCCAGCCATTTCAATAAGTGACACAGGCAGAACATCCCACTAGAACACGCACATGCACATGCATGTGTGTGCATGTGCTTGGGCCCGTGCACGCCCCCCCCCACACACACACCAGCAATGTCTGTCTCCTTCACACAGGGCTCAGACTCCTGAGCAAATGCAGGAAGCTGAATCTTTCTGTCCCCCATTTTCTTTAGATATTGCAAGACTGTTCCCCTTCCGCCTTCAGGGTTTCTGTGTAGAATCTCCACAGTGCTGGGAGTCTCGCCTCATTGTGAGGTTCCTGTGGGCTTAGCCTCTGGAAGGAAAGAAAGATTCTGGGCGCTGACACCCTGCACTCACTGCCCCTGGGCCCGTGGGAGCCCTGCCCCAGAGAGACGGCAGCTTAGCACTAGAAACACTAGCACAGTGTGCGCCCAGAGGGAGCCAGCCCGGCACCTGGCTCTGCAGGCAGGAGATGAGCCTGGGGGATGCTGGGACATGGCCTGCCTGAAGAGTTGGCCCCGCTCAGGTTGCAGTTTTCTCAGAATTCAGGTTTCTTTCTATGCTGACCTTTGCTTTGTGTAGTTTTGTTCTTCACATTTTATTTTGTGTGTATTAAAATACAAGGTATGGGGGCTGGTGAGATGGCTCGGTGGTCTAAAGCACCTACTTAGAACAAGCTCAGCAAAGCACAGGGACCACGGTTCAATCCCCCAGCACCACATGCCAGCCGGCCCCGCCCCCTGGTGGGCTGAGCTGGCCACACACACACACACACACACACACACACACACACACACATAAAAATTAAATTAAAAAAGTAAAAATAAAATACAAGGTATGATAAAAAACTATGCTAAATGTTAAATCTTTAGCATTTCACTTTAGTGAAAGACATATTATCTCTTCAGCTCCCTCAAGATGTTCCACTCTGCGGGCAAATGCTGTACCACTGAGCCATGCCCCCAAAATTCTCTACTCTGAATACACCTCCTTTATTTTGCCATTTTCGGAAGCAGTTGTGGATGTCTTCTTTTGTGAGTGTCTTTAATTGCCAGGGCATTTCGACTTTGGGGAAGAACCAGAGGTCACCAGGTGCCAGAGCTGGAAGATAAGGCACAGAGGACAAAACCATGTCTCTGAGCCTGCCTTTCGGTTGCATGTGAGTCAGCAGCGACATTTATGTCATCGTGGATGACACCTCGTGATGGCACTTGCCAGAGGGGACTTCCAGAACTGCTTTAGGAAGTGATAAAGAATGAGGGGAGAGGCTCAGCACGGGTGTGTATGTGGACCCAGGATGATACATTGGCTACGTGTCACAAGCTTGTACTAAATACTTTTTAAAGAAAGTGGCAAGAAGGATGAGGTGAATGTGCTTGAAGCGAGAAGGACCACGGCAAGGAGGATTATTGGTGGTGCAGCTTTCGCTATGGCACATTCTTAATTGAGACCAGCACTGATTGGGATCACACCTGGTAGAGCGTGCATGTGCGCTCTAGTCTAGCCGCAAGTACTCAGCCACATGTCTGCCGCTAGGCTTTGTGCGCTGCGCCCTGCAGATTCTGAGTTTTCTTGGTGGCTCTGCCGAGATGGAGGACGTGTCCCATTGCCCGGGCCACCCACTACTCTCCCTCTGCAGCCATGTGCACAGCCTCTACTGCTCCAGGGAGCCTAGTGCCTTCACAGAGCAGACAGGCGGGTGCGCTCAGAGTGGCCTTGGCCCTCCAGGCTGTGGGCTTCTGAGGAGGTGGTGAGCTCTGTGTTGTCCTGGGCTCAGCCAGTCTGGGCCGCTTGGGCTCTGGAGTACTGTTCTCCATCCGACTTCCCTGGGGCTGTGCAGGCAAGTGCTTCCTGCGGAGGGGCCTCAACCTGAACCCAAGTGTCCCCAGCAGAGACAATGCATAGGCATGTGACAGTGGCATCCTCCCTGGAGAGAGGAGCATTCCAGGCACTGGTTGAGAAGACCCTCAGGCCAGACAGTTAGCCCTTTTTCCCTTCGTGGAGACACTGGCACACTGTGCAGCCCCACGTGCCCTACACCTCAGCGTGCACCCCGGAGCTGGGTGTGCTCCTGCTTCTGTGTGCCCACTTGGCACACTTGTGTCTGTGGGCAGAGCTGCTCACTGTGTGTGCAGCCGGGGGCAAGCAGGAGGCTGAGCGGGCAGGCTCCGGGGCCCGCCTCTCCTGGGGCTCTGGAGGCTGTTCCGATGGCAGGAGCTCACCCAGTCAGTGCAAGATATGGCTGCATTCACACACCCGCCTGGTAAAGCTCCAGAGCTGACAGCTCCCAGGGAGCGCAGCAGGTGGCTTGCAGACACAGCAGCAGCACTGTGGGTTTGACTCGGTTGCCAAAAGCCTTCAAGGCCATAAAAGGCGGCATTCAGGGCCGTAGAAGGCTGCGCGTCCTGCTCTCGAATCCCCCGGCAGCAGGTCGGTCGCTCCAGGACTAACAGTTATGATTGCTGGTGCACAGGTATCCCATGCGTGGCCTCCTAGCACACCTGGCGCCCACATGTGGGTCTGAGGCCAGTTACCGGAGCATCACGAGCGGCCCTGTCATTCGGAGTCCACCCTCAGCACCAGCATTTCAGGTCACAGCTGAAGATCTTTGTCTGCACCTAGGTGAGGTGCTTTTAGGCTCAAATACAGTTCTGGAGGCCAGGACTCTGCCCAGTTCCAGGGACCTCCAGAGCGCCCCAGGTTCATCCCAGAGCCATGGCCTGCCTGCCGCCTCTGCTGGAGGCTCAGGCTACTGGGGCCATGTCTGGGCAGACTCTCAGTTCAAGTGACTCCAGGAAAGAGCGCCCCACTTACTCCGCTTCAGAGGAGGGGGGCGCTCGCGGCCCCTGAGCCTGAGGCAGACAGACGGTTGGCAAAGTCCAGCCTGAGAAAAGCAAGGACTGAAAATCTGGGTCGAGTCGCATCCCCGTTTCCTGCCCCTCAGTGAGTCGAAGCTGGGATTGCTGCCCGCCCAGTTCATATACGGGCGGCCTGCTTCTGCCTCCAGTAGGGCTGGACGGACCAACGCAGGGCGCTGCTCAGGCGTGCAAGGGAGCGCACTTGTAAACCGTGCCCCGAGACTGGCGCTGCACGTCGGGGCAGGAGGGAGCCGTGCTGCCCCTGCCTGGAGCGCCGCACCGTGTCCGTCCTCCCCACTGCCTCGGGTGGCCTTTGATCTCCTGATCCGTCAATCCAAGCTATATTCCAAATTTTGGCTTCTGACACCTCTCCCTGGTGGCTGGAGCACTCTGATGCCCACCTCTGTCCTTGTCCAATGAGCATTCTGTTTAATAATCAAATTTTACTGCCTGTCCAACTTTTTAGTCTGCATTTTTTCTATATATCAATCTCCTTCCCATTTTTAAAAATTCCCTGTCCTTATGACGGGGTGGACAGTGAATGCAGCCGGGAAGAGTGTTCAAGCTCTTGTGGCACTGAGCCAATACGGCAGGCACAGACCCATGTGTCCCGGAGGAGCCTGCCCTTCCACGTTGTCTGCAGGACCGAGAACCAGGGCCTGGCTGTGCTGTAGAGGGAGAACAACACCGCAGCTCCAGGGTGGGGGAGAGCAGGTGTGCCCCGTTCATTGTTTGTGGGGCTGGCTGGGGGCAGAACACAGAGAACCTTGTGCTTTAATGACAGCACTCCTGAAAACCGCAAAACCCACTGGTTCGGATAGTTTCTCAGTGTGTCCACCAGGGGAGGGGACTGGACTGAGAATCTTTCACCTCTCTGCTCACAGAGGGGTTGGCTGCTCTGCCACCATTTTGGTGCACTTTGGCTGTCATTCACTGGCAGTGTCCTCTGATGCGGGCAGCATAATGTTGCCGGCAGAAGGCTCCACTGCCCTAGAGGTGGTGTGGCAGGCATGTCACACTTCTGCCATCTTTCTGTGGAGGGGACATGGGGCCTGCTCATGAGGTAACATCCAGTTTCCTCTGGGGCAAAAAGTTAGCTATTTGGCAGCAGCTGCTCAAATACAAGTCTAGGGTTGTAGAAAATATTTCTCTTATAAATTAATATAACCCCCCCAAAAAAAAAAACTATAAACAAACACCAAAGCACTATGTGAAAACATTTCATTCTAGAACAGGGCTGGATTTCTGTTTCTCTGCATCAGTAACAGTTTGTGACAGCCTGTTTAAAGGAGTCTGGAGGCAGCTCCATGCAGAATCCATAGGAGATAACAAACAGGCTCAGAGGTCTTAGGAACAGGCAAATTATCCAATTCAGAGAAACAGGCTAAGTTTGAAAACGTGAAACTAGCAGCGTCTTGCCAACACACGTACATCAGCTTGTGCATACTGCTTTACCCAAATCCCTTCTCCTTCACCCAGCTGCTCATCTAATCAGGCTTCCGGTCACTGCCCTGCGAGCAGAGCCCTCCGTGGGCAACGTGCACGCTGCTCTTGGCCTCACAGAGATGCCCCGCCTGCGCCCGTCCTTGCTGCCTCACCCAGCTCCTCCAAGGCCGTCTAGCAGGGCGCCTGCTGGCCATGGCCCTCCTCCAGCCCACTGGTTTCTGCAGCCCACTCTTGGAGCTTACGGCCTTCTGTCTCCTGCCAAGGGGTGAAGGTGGGCAGACACCAGCCCACCCCGAGTGCACAGTGGGTCTGCAGAGGTCAGGCCAAGCCCTGAGCAGAGCTGCTGCCCTCTCCCACGCGTGGGGGGTTGTGAGGGTGGAAGACCGTACCTCCTGATCTCTTTTCCAGGGTGTCTGTGGTTTCCCTGGCCCTGTCTGCCATCTGATCTTTGAAAGGAATTTCCTCACTGGCGTGAGAGCATGCATCCTACTGCGCACTCTCCTGCTGCCCCTGTGTATGAGATCTGTGCATGGCCACCTTCCGAGGTCACAAGAACGCAGCTGTCCTCCCTCCAAGCTCTAGCACTGACCTTTGTTTCCACACTCTCTGGCATACTTCCAACTGCCCTGCAGCATCTCCACTCTTCCCATTTGATTCTTCCACACTGGAAGGGATCGAGGTGAGAAGAGTGTGGGGACATGTGCTCCCAAATAGCTCTGGGTTCCCATGCGTGGCCTTGTCAGAGGACAGACAGGGTGGTGTGCAGCATGCTGTGGCCAAGCTCTGGGCTCCTCAAAGTGATACAGTTGGTCTGTTGTCTCTTGAGAATTTGCAATCTGGCTAAGATTAATATATTCAAATCATGAGGCCAGAGCTTCTGTACAAAGAAATCCTTAAAGCCACGCACCGCTTGGTACGTTCAACAACACATGCTCAGCCCTGGGGGACTCTGGAGGTGTCAGCAGATGGAGCTCATGGTTGGGCGCTCATCCAGCAGCTGCTGCCGGGGCAGTGGACTCTGGACAGGTGAAGGACACCTGGGGGTGGCGCTAGGGCAGGGTTCCCATCATGGTTCCAGTGAGGGGTGTGCTCAGGAGGCTGGGGCGATGGTTTCCTCCAGGAACCCTCAGTCTTACAGACATGTAAGGGAGAAAAAAGGCAAAGCCCAACGTTTTCCAGAAAAATCATCCCACACGGTCCAGAGCTGAGTGTGTGAAGTTCACGCTGCTGTGCCATGCTGTTGATGTTAGGGACTGACGGAGCAGGGAGGGTTCAGGCCAGGTGAGCTCTCCCAGTCTCCAAGAAAATGAGCTTTGAAACTGCTAAGAATAAGAAAGATGGTGGAGAGTAGCTGATGCTGCAGGTGGGAGAAACATTTGAGCCACAAAGCAGAGATAAAAAGGAGGGATTTACAATTAATAAAACTAAGAGATGTGTCAGAGAAGAGTTTTCATTCAAGGACTACAGAAATCAGTGTGGGTCCTTTTGCTTCTGTTTTCTAGTGCATTGTATTTATTACGCATATCTTTAAGGAGGTTAGGATTTCCTTAATAGGCGTTGATCATGGACCCAAGGGACACAGGTGGTGGTGCAGGTTCTGCTTTGCGGAGTCTGCTCTGTACCTGAACTCCACTGAGGAGCCGGTATCTTCTGAACCAGGCTCACAATGGGCTGCAGGTTGAATGGCCAGAGCCCTGAGGAGGGACTGAGCCCCGAGGAAGGACTGAGGCTTAAGGAGGGATTGAGCCCTGAGGAAGGGCTGAGGCCTGAGGAAGGACTGAGGCCTGAGGAAGGACTGAGCCCTGAGGAAGGACTGAGGCCTGAGGAAGGCCTGAGACCTGAGCAAGGACTGAGGCCTAAGGAAGGCCTGAGACCTGAGGAAGGCCTGAGACCTGAGGAAGGCCTGAGACCTGAGGAAGGACTGAGTCCTGAGGAAGGACTGAGCCCTGAGCAAGGACTGAAGCTTAAAGAGGGACTAAGCCTTGAGGAAGGACTGAGGCCTGAGGAAGGCCTGAGCCCTGAGGAAGGACTGAGGCCTGAGCAAGGACTGAGCCCTGAGGAAGGCCTGAGACCTGAGGAAGGACTGAGGCCTCAGCAAAGACGAGCCCCGAGGAAGGACTGAGCTGTCATGTGCTCCGCGACTGGAGGATATGCTGGGTTCAGGTGCAGCTTAAGAGAACAGTGCTTGCGTGCAGTGAGGCTTTCCCTGCCCTCAGCCTAGTTAGGTGGAGGACTTGTAAACCCGACTAGGACATTGATCCCCAAATCGGACATCATCTTGAGTTTTAAGTGGTGGGGGCTTTCTGAGACCTCATTGGTGAATGATGGGTCCCTTAGGCTTGGTGGCAGTTGACAGCGTGACTCAGAAACGCACAGAGTGATGTCTGTGTGAGCACTTCTGCCCAATGCTGGTGCCTCCTCAGCTAGGTGATTTTCTGAACACTGTCGTCCATGCACGTAGACCATGCAAGGTCTCTCAAGTGTACTCATGCCTGGGATTAAAAAATACTTTGCTATTCTTCATGGTCCTTGCAAGGTAATTGTTGTTAAAAGTACTAAACCAGAAAGCAAATGTGAAAATAATTGTTCCTCAGTAAGGAGGGGCTCTTGCTCAGCCTATTTGCTGTGACTGCCTGACTCTGTCTCCCCAGAAGTGAGTGTGCGCCAGCTGGTGCCAACACCGCCGTTAGATGTGGCTGATTCAGGAGCAGCACTCAGCTCTCCTTATGACAACCGGTGGTGGCTGAGCCTTCCAGCCACCAAGCTCATTCTGAATCATGACTTAAAAAGGCCATTTACCCTGTGACAAACTTTCATTTTTGTCCTCCTTCTGATCTTTATATGAAGACAAGAATGCCTTTCCTCATCTGTGTCATTGTAAATGTTTCTGTGGAGAAGCCTGCAGCTCACTCTCGGGTAGTTGAGACACCGGCACTGGCGTGTCATTAGGTCCCTTGCTCCGAAGCTCCTGATCAAGTGAAAACCCCTGAGCTCTGGTACCCAAGCGGGTGGCTGAGGTGACCTTGTGGGGCCCGCCACTGGTGGCCTCACCTGCAGCTGGAGAAGTTCCCACGTGACCCAGCATTCGTGGGGAGTGCCCAGATCCTGCTCTCTCCAGGGTCAGCCCTGAGGAGCTCGTGCTGTCCGTCAGCCTGCAGAGGGTCCCATCCCGCTTCTCTCTGAGGATGGAATGGTGGGCTGCCTGCACTATGTTCAGGTGGTCACTGAGCTTCAAGAAGTAATGGATACATGAAAATCTGTGACTAGGAGAAAACTTGGGAAACCCAATTAGACAGGTTCCTCCCCAGGTGTTTGCATTTGTGTTTTCCCTCATTTATTAACTATGCCCAGGGGACAAATCCCCACAGCTCTGGAGCTGCCTATGCTAAAAGGAAGGGGACACCCCAGGCAAAGTCAGGGTGAGTGGTCTGTGACCAGAGTTCTCTGGTAACCGTCCCCTGTGGTGTGGGCTCAAGGTGCTGGACTCTCTATCCCCATGAATAAGCAATTTGAATCCAAGAGACGAAAGTGGAAAACAAAATGTGATCATGCGTTGATCACTAAAGAATGCCCCAGGAAAATAGTGCAGAAGTTGTCACAGTGCAGGGCTTGGCTGCCTGCCGGGGGACAGAACCGGATGTGGGACCTTCCTCAACCCTGGGGAGTCCTGGAACAGAGGTGGAGGAGCCACCTCAGCAGGAGCTCAAAGCAGCTTCATCACTTTCAACTTTGGTTGAGCGGGGTGCTGAGAGTGGTGGCTTGGGCCATGGGCCTCACAGGCTGCTTAGGAGACTTTTGGAGTTGGTCCTGTCACTTCACCCATGGTGTCATACTCTGAGCTCAGTTTACCTGTGAGTGGAGAGTATCACCAATTTCCAACTTCACCCCACATCAGTAAATGCCCCTGGTGTAGGGCTCTGGCCACGGGCTGTGGCGCACCAAGTGCCCAAGTACATTGCAGCCCATCTGAGCCCAGGGACAGGAGGGCAGGGTGTCCCTCAGAGCGTGTCCCTTCCTGCTCAGTGCACAGCTGTCATGGGTGCTGGGCACACTCAGCCCCCACCGTAGAGGGCCACTGCATCAGCTGTTCAGAATGCACAGCTCTGGAGAGAAAGCCTGCGCTGGGCAGCCTGAGCCTTCTGGGGGCAGACTTCCAAGCTTGGGCTGCAAGACCCAGGAGTGACATCTGAACACTGTGGCTATTTTGGAAGCTTCCTGTAGGGCCATGGAGTTGGCATGCTGTGTGGACACTTC